TTGGTGTTGTGAGGCGACGGGCGCCCGTTGCCGGGGTTGGTGTTGTGTGGCGACGGGCGCCGTGATGCGCGTTTCACATCGTCTTGACAACTGCGAGGTTGCACATTTATGTTTCGTTTCGTCTGCAGCTGAAAATACTTTTCTGTCGGGTTAAGTACGTTTTGTGGTAATCTCCTGCGCAGAGACTGCCTGCCAATTGGCTGCGAACGTTTTCAGTACAGATTAAGTTTGTGTACTAAAGTAACTTGACAATGAACACGCCGTTATGTGGAGGCGTTATGTTTTCCAACCCTCCCCTTCTTCCTTTATTGATGCAAAATAAGTTAATTTTGTCTGAAGAAGTTGGCAGAAAGAGGTGGTGATGTGCGTGGAACACAATAATTAAATATGGTAAGGAAAAATGGATTGCGCTATGGAGTGAGTTTAGGGAAAATTTTACATGGGGGAAAAACAGTTTCTTTGTGTCGAGAGGGCTTTCGAGTTGAAGAGTTTGGCATTATAGTGTGTGGAGGTTTTGCTACCAGTAACCTGAAATCGGGTTGAGATGCATGAAAAATCGCAGTTGGCGAATGAACGAAGTGAAACAAATAAAAATAGAAATTGCTGGATAAATTCAGCAGCTTTGGCAGCATCAGTATCAGGACGTTTAGAGTCCTGTGATACAATTATCCTGGACTAGATTTCAGGTAAGACGTTTTAGAGAGCAGGTAGACATATTGATGTATCGGCGGCGAAGGGTGCACCCAAACCAACGTTGGGACAGGGTCAGGCCATTAACCTCCTTGAGCCACTTATTTCAATCACAGTTAAACTGTGTCTCAACTTCATTCGCCCGCCTTAGTTGCATATCCCTTGAGACACTTAACTGATAACTATGCAGTCTTGATAGCTGCAAAGCATGCAGAATCCTCAATCGAGTGGTACAGTGAGTTGCAGATGCTAGAGGGCTACTGCAAGTTAGCAAGATCAGGAATTGATGTTCAAGCTGAATTCAGTGGAGGGCAGGTTATATAGGTAGCTGCGCTTTGGACAAATTGGAATTTTTTGGACCGTGGCAAGTTAGCAAGGATGATGCTTGAAATAGTGACTCCTGAGGTGAGAAGACATGGGTGAAGGTTTTGATGTTAGTGCACTAGTGTTATTTCATTGGTAGACAGTTGGTGCAGGAAAAGTGTTGGTCATAAATATGAGTGACTAGTGATGGATTAGATAAAGAAAGTATCAAATATGAAATGCGCAAAGTTGTTCCTGTTTAAGCTCACTTTTCCAGCCTTATGACTTATACCAGTTTATTTCTTAGTAAATCATCACTTGCTTATCTGCTAAACCTAGTGATAAAACAGCTGAATTGTTCAAATCGGAAGTCGATTCACGTCAGCTTTATGGGTTTTTTCCTGCAAATCTGTTGCAAAGACTATGTTCCTTTCATGGTGATGTGAAAACTAGAAATAAGGAATGGAAATCACTTGCATCTTATGCAGGACTTGGAGAGTTGTATTATTTTCCATTAGACATGCATTATATTGTAATAAAAACACTAAATGCTGTAAAACAGAGGTCAGGTAGTACTATAGATTGAGAATGATAGTCATTGTTTTGGGTTTGACTCATTGTAATCACTTGAGGACAAAGATTTTAGTCCTATTTGAGAGATTTAGCCATATAGTTGCAGCTGAGGGAGCATTGGTTTCTCTTCTCACTACCACCAATGTTCTCCAAGGATTTTTTTTCATTCATCGGATGTGGACATCGCTGGCTCGGCCAGTATCTGTTGCCCAGAGTGTAGCTAAGACTCAGTCACATTGTTGTGGGTCTGGCCTTGCATCTATCTTTAGCTTCTCCTTTTCCTCCTTTTCATCCAACAGCAATTCTTTGATAGCATCAGTTTCCACGTATATACTGGTGACCCCCAACTTTACCTAGTCACAGTTTGGAGTCATCCACTTTTCTTAAAATGCCAGACTACTTATCCACCATCTAGTGCTGGGTGAGCAACAATTTCTTCCAATTAAATGTCTTAGTTCCCTAAGCAAAAAAGCCTGCAGGTGCTGGAAATTTGAAATCTGAAACAAAAAGAGAAATTGCTGCAGAAACTCTGCAGGTCTGGCAACATCAGTAGAGAGGAAGTGTTTTGGGTCCTGTGACTCTTCTTCAGAACCGCTTCAGCAATTTCTGTTTTTGTTTCAGATGTCTTTGTTCCATGTAAGGTATGCAGCTGTGCTACACCTGAAATTTCCCATACAGACAGCACATAAGTTGACAGCATTAATTTATTGCATTGAAACAAATTAAATGGATGTGCACTTAATACAATCCCTGCACAATAAAAAAGATTTACAGGAAACTTTGGCCCTTGGCACAAACACCATTCCCAAGTTACTAGCTCAATCCTTCTGCCTAACAACTATCTGAGGTTGAATTATATTTGACCATGAGGTAAGAATTTCTGACTGCACCTGTTCAGATCACTAAGATCACCTATTTCCATCTCTATAACACTATTCAATTCCACTTGCCTCAGCTTCTCTGTTGCTGAAATCCTCATTCATGCCTTTGTTGCTTATAAATTTGATCCCTGTGGCATTCCACTAGTTTTTGTTTAGATTTCAGATCTCTGTCATATTCCACTAGTTAGAATGTGCAAAATGAGGAGGGTCTGGGCCCGAAACATCAGCTTTCCTGCTCCTATGATGCTGCTTGGCCTGCTGTGTTCATCCAGCTCTACACCTTGTTATCTCAGATTCTCCAGCATCTGCAGTTCCTACTATCTCTGATACAAATTTATCCCTACTGTTGACTTTAACAGGGTGAGCGGGATGGGAAGGGGCACTTGCAGTCACAGTAACCTAACTTAGGCAGTCGATGATTTGTAGAAATTTTCTGGTAGTTTATTGAGAAGTAGCAGTTTAGAAATGATACAGTAGTTAATTAGGCTAAGAAAGGAAATGTATGACTGGTGACAGATGAGAATGCTTCACTGACCTACACTGTTCTGTACAATAGAGAAGTGGGGGACAATGGGCCCCCATGTCCCAGATGTCTTGCAATCTTTTGTGGCAGTCTTTGACAGCTGTCTTTGTTCTTCATTTGGCCTGACAGAGAGGAATGCCTGATATTCCCTTGAAGTTGATTCCATTTCCCTTACTCTTTCTTGTCCCCTCTCTCCCCACCTATACCTATTGATGTACTTTATTTGGGGGCTAACCATCTATGCCGTGTCAACCATCGGTCAAAATGCTGTCAACCACTGACCAGGTATTCATGATGCCATCATGATTGTTGTCCCCCTTCTCGCCTCTGCTTGAAGGCAAGATTTCAAATCAAACATTATTTCTGAAAACGTTGCAGTCGCAGTAGGGCAGTGAGATCCCCAGTAAATCTTTTGTTAATCCTTATGGAAAGCTGGTTACTAATGTAATGCAGTTAAATAGGTTTCATGCTGCGCAGGCAATAGAAAATATGGAATACTCATAGGTTTAAAGGCCCCTCAATTTCAAATACCACTCTCTACTTCCTGTCAGCTAGCCAATCCTTTATTCATGTTAATGTTACCCCCCTACACCATATACTCTTATCTTGTGGCAATTTTTGTGGTACCTACCTCGTCAAATGCCTTTTGGAAAACCAAGTAACCAATAACTAGTAGTTTCTCTCTATCTACAAGGAATGTCTCTTCATCAAAAAGCATTAATAGAGCAGTTAACCATGGTTTTGTTTTCACAAAGCCATGCTGAGCACATTGTGATTTTTCAAGTATCTGCTACAATTGCCTTAAGAATGGATTCTAGCATGTTCCCTATGGCAGATATTAGGCTAACTAACCTGTAGTTCCTGTTTTCTCCATCTTTCTTGAAAAATAGTCTTAGATTTGTTGTTTTTGAATCCACTGGGACCCTTCCAGCATCACACAAATTTTGGAAGGTTATAACTAATGCATCTATATCTGTGCCAACATTTTTTTAGGATAGAGACCATCTCAACCTGGTGGCCTGTGAACATTAGATCCAGTCGTTTTCCTAGCATCTTTTCCCCAATGATGGTTATCATTTTAACTTTAAGCCTCCCCATCACCTCTTAATTTTCATTTTTCCATTGGGATGTTTTCTAAATCTTCTGTGGAGATGGATACAAAATATCAGTTCAAGACTCTCCCATTTCTTTAGTTTTTATTGTCAATTTTCAAAGTTGTGCTCTAGAGTAAAAAATACTTCTTTTTAGTTCCTCCTCATTCAAATACCTGTAGACACTCTTACTTTCTGTTTTTATATTACGAGCTAGTTTTATCTCATTCCCTGCCTTTTGGCTCTTTATTATCTTCTAATCAGTCTTTGCTAGCTCTTAAAGTCTGTCCAGCTTCAGATCTATCATTACCACTCTACAAATCTGCAGACGTTTCTTTCAATTGAATACTATCCTTAATTTCCTAATTTAGCTATAGATGGTGGATCCTTCTCAAAAAAGGCTATGGAATGTACTGCTCTAAGAAATTCTCCCAAAAGTATTCTGTGAACTAATTTTCCAGGTGACCTTGGCCAATGTGATTCTGACAATCTGCATGCAGGTTAGTCATCCAGGATTATTGCAGTAAGTTTCTTACATGCCTCAGTTATTTCTTGTGTGTTTTCTTCTATAATGTAATAAATGTTCCTGTGCTGTGCAGTTCTGTCTTCTATGTTTTATCTTTGGACTGTGGGAGTAAATTAGAGCTGGCAGAAACCCACGCAGACATGGGGAGAAGGTGCAAACTCCACACAGTCACCAAAGGCTGAAATCAAACCTGGGTTCCTGGAACTGTGAGACAGCCGCGCTAACCATTGTGCTGCCTTGACATATCGAGCTCCTTTGTCCTTGATGCCATTGAGTTTCCTCCAAGTGGTGTTCAACTTGATTCGTTAACAGGGGGCCAGGGAGTGAGAATCAGCAGGAGCTTTCGTTGCCCATATTTGATCTGATACCATGAGACTTCTTGGGGTCTGGAGTCAATTTTTGAGGACTCCCAGGACAACTCCCAGCTATATGTCATTGTGCCAACCCCTCTGGTGGGTCTGTCATCTGACACGATGCTTGGGACATAGACATACTCACAATCATACATTTTGATAACGGCTGTTGCTTGACTAAACAAAAAAACAAAGAACTGCAGATGCTGGAAATCAGAAACAAAAACAGAACTTGCTGAAAAAATACTCTATGGAGACAAAAGCAGATTTAATGTATCAGAAATGTTAACTCTGCTTTGTCTCCACACTTGCTATCAGTCCTGCTGGGTTTTTCCAGCAATTTCTGTTTTTTGTTGCTTGACTACCCTATGGCACAATGCCCAATTTTGGCGCAAGCTCACAGAAGTTATTAAGGAGGATTTTGTAGAATCTGTGCTGTGTCATTTCCAG